TGTGTGTGTGTGTGTGTGTGTGTTACTTCAAATTGAGCTCACTGGCACGTCTGTCTAATATTGGTGAGACCAAATCAGACCAAACAGTTACTACAGTTTCTGTGCAGACGTTTTGCAAACACAACATAGCTACCAGGGTTTGTTTAAGGAGTTTCAATACAGGCCACTATAAAATAAATAGTTTGTGGTATCAGCAAACTATCCAGAGCTATTCTAGTGAAGTTTACCATTAATATATTAGTTCCCTTTCAATAAATGAGCATATGGCAGGTTTTGGATCAGAGGGGACAGCAGAGAGTGGTGACCTTTGGCACGTTTTACCCTAAACATCATCAATGACTTTAGCGTAACTCTATAGTGCTACAAGTACTCTGTATTATACCTCTATAGTAGTGTAGATTTGTAGCTGCAGAAACAAAGAAACTAAACTATAAGTTGCCTAATAGAAGCTTACATAATGAGTGGAACCTAGTAAGAATCAGTTCAGTTTTGGAAGAGGACGTATTAAACAGGATGAACACACAGTGCATGCTCTGTGTTTGGGAGTGTGTGTGTCTTAGCCTTTTCACTTACTGCTCTCCTGCATCCTGGCCACAAAGCCAGTCAGAGGTATCTGTGGAGTCAGCTGGGGCATGGGGGGAGGAGGAGGAGCGATAGACACTGAAAGCCAGCAGAGAAAAGGGCAGGAAGGCCGACAGAGTGAGCATCAGAGAAGGAGAAAAAGACAAAGCCCATCAGTCACCAAGAAAGGCAGTTCAGGGTCCAACCCAACCCCCAAGCAAACAACAGTCAACACAGACACACTGCAAGAACTGGGAGCATGTACACATCTAACAAAAGCACAGTTAAGCACTATACTGGAAGACTGATCGTTTAAATAAATTAATTTTTTTTCTTCTATTTGACAGAGATCACAGATCAGACGCAAACATGAGCTGAAAAGTTCAGCAGCATCTGCGACTGTGATGAGATTCACATGGTATCAGGGGATCATTAGAGCAAGAGGATAAAAAGCAGATTATGTTTGGTTTCTGTCGATCAGACCGTTTCCTCTAAATCGAAAAAAAACGGGGGACTTCTAATAGCCACAAGGGGGCAGTATTTACTTTCGATGTCTCATCCTGAACTCATGTGAAGCAACTCCCTTCAGACCTGTTTTAGTAATGTTAACACTATAGATTCTCATGTTAGTTTTCCTCAGATCACATGATTCATTTTAGGTTAAATGCTGTGAATAAGTAATAGTCAAGAACCAGTGTTTCAGAAAATATCACTTTTAGGCTTCAGGCAATGACAAAGCTACCAGGAATCTGCAGATGTGCAAGAAAGACCACATGTGAGGTGTAAATTCTCTCTGAATGAAGTGTTTGGAACGGAACGGGCACATCTGCACATCTGGAGGTCATCTGGCTTGCACTGTGATCTGTATAAATGGGATCCATACAGCGTGAAAAGGCCACCTAACTATTCCTGCTATCTCAAGCTGCAAGTCTACCCTTTAAAAAGAGACTTAAAAATCAATGATGCCTGTGCTTTGCCTTTATTTTCTTGACCCCACCTAATAAATCTGTGCAAAGAGATCTCTTAGCAATATAGGCATAATTGAAGTGAGGTTAACAGCTGACCTAACTAAACTGCAGTACAATACACAGCCAGTAAACTTTGCCTAAGTTTTTACAAGATGCCAAAGACCGACTCTGCACTGCTAGCTAATATTGATTGCCTGCATTGCATCTGTGTACAAATCCAAGGATGAGGCATTCTGCATCAATACTAAAGACGCCCCACAGTTGGATAAAAAGCCTTAACCTGCACTTTCAGATTAAAAACAAACGTCAATAGTTCTGTGAAGAACTCGGCCTGACCTTCAGAAAGCACTGATTTACTTGCAAATATAAAATATAAAGATTTTGTGTGTGGCTACAAAGGTTAGTTCGCGTCGGGTGCATGATTTGGGAAGAATGTGAGGTTGTGTGTCCTTCAGTGACAGCTCTGGATCTAGAAAGCAGTTGGGAGCTGGAGACAAGAGGGCCTTACTTGAGTTCTGACCATAGCCAGGAGTGCCTCCATTAATATGAGGCTGCTGTTGCTGCTGCTGCTGTTGCTGCTGTTGTTGCTGCTGCTGCTGCAAGGAGAACTGCGAAGTGACCGACGGCGCCCGCCGGTAGGTGCCCGTGGCCGAAACCATAGAGACAGAGGAGTTGGAAGAGTTGTGCCGCGAAATCTGCCGCGAGATGGTTCCAAACTGGGACATTGGAGCGGGTCCCAGACCAGGTCCAGGGGCCACAGCTAGAAACCCCAAGGACGGGGAGGAAAGAGAGGAAAGCCAAGCACGGTAGCAAAGGAGGGAAGAAGGTTGGAAATGAGAGGGAAGGGGGAAACCAACCAAAACATGAATCATCAACACCGTGTGAGATAACATGAGCTTTTAAATTCTGATCAGAGCCCCCTGCCTATTAAAAAAAATGTTAAAGTTAGTCAACAAAAGTCAGAGGAAGCAGGTGATCTTGGGGAAGCAACAGAGATTGTAATTTGATTATAAAAGTAACAGACACTTCATGAAGAGTTTCGTCAACAAGTTATCTTAAATGTAGCTTTCTTAGACAAGCAGGAAAGGAAGGATCGATTGAGGAATAAGAACGCAGCAACAGAACAGATGGATCCTGCAGGTTTTTGCTGAAGCAACAATTAAAACAGGGACTTCAAACTCATTTTATATGCCACGCTTTGATGTGAAGTGAGCTGGACCAGTGAAACTGCATGTTAAATGTATGAAGCAAACAAAAGGTTCCCACAGTTCATTGGTCAGGGTGTCCTGTAAGTATAGATTTAGAATATGAAGCTTTCATTGATTCACTTTGGTGTAGTATAGATGGCAGTGGGTGTGTGGGGGATCTTTATCAACAGGAAAAACTGTTCAAAATCTTTGCCCTTCATTCACATTTTCTTAAGTTGTCAAGGATGCAGAATTTGAGTCTTTACAAAGCCGATTCAGGCCCGCGGGCCGTATGTTTGACACGGTTTAAAAGACTGCAGGTAGCATTTAGGATTACGTGCATCACTACACTGCCATCAAAGAATAACTGAAGCATCTCTGTGAACAACAGCTTTAAAAACAACAACAACAAAGAACTATTTGAAGATTGAAGCAATGTGTGCGGCTGTGGGCGACAAAAATAGAGAGGGCGAGGAGGGGTTTAAGTTTTTTTTCTGCCTTTCTTTCTTCTGCTCGAGCATTTCCTGCTCACATTTCTAGATAATATACATCCTCTCGGGAGAGATAGGAATGGGTGGGACCAGAGGAAGTAAAGATTCAGAGGAAAACAACCACAAATACGCTACAGTGTCACCAGCAGAATAATTATAAGTGGAAAATAAAGGGTCTTGTGATGTTCAGATGATAAAATGTGCACAATTCAAGTGATCATCTCGGCCACAAAGATTACCGGAGTCGATGAGCGAAGAACGGCTGCTGCTCAGGCTTAGACACTTACCGGTGGACACCGATGAAACAGCTGGATGCTTTAAGCTTTACAGAGCTCGGAATCTAAATCAATCCCAGCATCACGAATCTGTGATTCAGAGGCCGTGTAAATTAGAGCTACATCAGGCACTGCTGAGTATCTGAAGCACCCAAAAGGCTGGCTGAATGGTTTGGGGAGTCCATTACCCTGAAATCATTATGTGGCATTTGCTGTGGCTCAAACAGTCTCCATACTGAGTCACTGCTTTACTTTCTACCAGTGAAAATCATTAGCATCTCTGAATTCAGCTTACCCACTCCCTAAACCTGTTGCAAAGACGCATTGAGCACAGTGTTCAATAAAAGGCAACTAATTATATAAAAACATAACAGGGTTTCCAATAAATCAGGTTTAGAGGGACAAATTAGCTTTAAATGTATTAGATGTGATGTGCTGTTTGACCCCTCGGTCTAACAATGCAGGTGCAGCAATTGTAATTTTAAAAGTTGGGCCCAATAGGAACGTTTTACTTTTTAATACTACATCTGTCTAAACAGACCGCACCCTGCATCAGCAAGTTATCTTTAGCTTTGCCCGCTGATGGGTGAACATTTACAGTAACGACCGAGTTTGGGGATGTGTCAATCTTTTTTTGCAACTTTGCAAAAATAGTTTTTCTGTTTCATCGCAGACTATGATCACAGCTAATGCACACGCAAATAGAAAGTAGCAGCGATGCAGCGCAGAGACGGCTGACAATCAAATGGAGAGATTTAAAGATGCAAACTCATCTCAAATCGTAGCCACGCCTATTACCAATTAAAAGGGTTAATTATGAAACCAGAGTCTGGAATGTCCACAACCAGCTTACAGCTTTAAATGTGAATGATCTTGAGTTCAGGAAAGTGTTGCCTGATGCAGCTTTAACCACAATCATGTTTATGGAAATTTAAAAAAAAAATAAATCAAATGAGCCACATACTGTACCTGCAGTAGAAGTCTCAAAGTCACGTTTCTGTACATCTGTACAGATTTGAAATAAAAACTTATTTTATTATCCACAACAGCTTGAGATTAAAATGTAAAGGACCAATTTAAGAGAAATTACAGGCACTAATTAACTTTAGCCAGGCCCTAGGTGACATGAGACTTCTGTATTAACCGATTACACTTCAGTGAAGAAGAGCACCACCACCACCAAAACCACCACCGTGAAGGATTAAGTTAAATGTCACACTGTGCTTAACAGAAGCACGAAACTCTGTCCACACTGCAAGCAACGACAGAGCTGAACAACCCAGAAATCTTTGGCTGATGTGTTTAGTTCAGCGAGTTTCTTGGCTGGGGAAAGCTCGTCATGGCCAACGCTCGTCGAGAGCGCAATTCGATTTTTATCTTTCTCCCCCATTTCCTTAATAATGTTTCCTCATTTTGTGAATACCGCTTCAGCCTAAGTGGATGACAGAGAAATCTGTCAGAGATGATGCGGCTGTTTCTGTTGCTTTATTCTTGATTTTTGATAAGAGGACCCTTTGCTTGCAGTGTGCACAGACGGACATCGGCACCCACAGCACCCTTATTTTGTGCATCTCCAAGGTGATGATCCGCCATCCAGTCGGCAGAGGTCAAACAAGCGGCTCTGGAGCTTCGAGGAATCTCACCTATGGGAGGTGGCGGTGGTGGCGCTGGAGGGGCCATCCCGGCCATGGGAGGAGCAGGTGGAGGTAGAGGAGGAGGGGGTGGGGGAGGTGGAGGGGCTCCCGGGGGAGCAGGCATGGTTGGGACTGAAAGGAGGACTCACGTTAGTGACCATTTAGCGGTGAGGCAGGAGCAGAGCGTGTCCTCGCCGCCTCCTACACCTCGATTACATAACATCATATCAATTTACTTAAGAACCCTCCGGGCCCGGAGGAGCGCTCCGACTTCTCGCGCAGTTGGACACACTCCTTTGCGGTATGAATCGAGTGTTTCCATGGCGACCAGCTTGCACATCACAGAGAAAGAGAGAGAGAGGGAGTGCTGTGGAAAGTCCTGTGCTGCCGGCCTGATCCCGGCGCCGAGGTAAAACAGCTGCTACGTCAACCTACAATGCTCCAAACTTAAACGCAGCACCATCTCCGCCGTGATCACGGTACAGCGCGACACCACGTGTAGCAGCTCGTTGTGTTACGTGGGCTTTACTGTTTAACTGTAAAGTGTCAGGCCTCGCGCTGCTTGGCCTATTTACACAGTAGGATAGAGAATCAGCTGTGCTTAGAACACAATGGGGCTCCATAATCCCTGTCTGGTAAACATAGGCTTTGTGATGCACACTCTCTCTATCTGCCAATAGCGTCATACATTTACACTTTATCAAACTTCATCATATATTCAGATTTTACGCTTAAAAGCACTTATTTAAATTGTATTTTTTTAGCCATATATTGATTGAGAAATGTATGTGTTTAAAGTTTGATTCACAAAGAACACACCATTGACTGTACCTAAAAGATGGACAATCAGTAGCAACATTGATCTGTCCCAGATGTTTAAGAAGTCCAAGGTTGTCACCTTGCATACTGTTTTTTATTGTCTATTTCACTCTAAATAATGATAATGACTTTAAACAAATGAACACTGTTGCATTAGCTATTAGCTAAAGCTAATGTATAAGGACACATTCTCATTAGGAGATGTTTACTGAGGTCAAATATCAACTGAGCTGTAGGATCATCTTCTCATTGACTTCTGTGAAACTGGACTCATCTTTAAACAAGAGCAGTCGCCCTTTGGTGACCATTTCAGACCTGGAAGCTACATCTAGATTTGAATTAGTTGAAGTCTATGGTGTGCATCTTGCCAAACAGAGCAGTCCTGTAGTGTCATCATCTTGTTTTAACTGGGTGGAAAATACACCAAAACTCAAGTGACAACATTCCTGAGGGTGTACACAGATATCTTACTCATTAAAGCAAATATTTCTCCCTGCATTTCTAATCCAGGTAAAAAAAACAAATAAAAAAAAACACTTAAAAGTAAAAAACAACTGCCAATAAAAGCCTCACTGAAAATCAGCATAATCTGGACACCGACTGTTACCGTTTACTGTTTAAGTCACCACCACTGTCAAGCTCACCTGGTCCAGAGTTGGGGATGGAGGGTGTAGGCACGGCGATGGGAATGCCAATTCCGCTGCTGCCGCTGTTCTCCCTGCTGCCGCTGCCCCCGCTGCTTCCACTGAGGGAGGAGAGACAGAAGGAAAAAGAGGACATTGTTTTATTCAGGGCAACCTGCTTAGACTGCACAGCAGGTAACACTGCAGATATAGGGGACTCTGCTGCGTCGCTGCTTATGTCCCATTTAGAAGTAAAAGGCCAAAAACTCCACATTTTTAAGTAATACTCCAGGGTGACTTTGCTCTTCCACACTTATTCAGTCTATTGGCTTGTTAAGACTAAGCTGCAGGGTGACACACCCAAGTGAAAAAGACATGAGTCACCCTATTGAAGCATTTTTGGTCACAGTCTGTCAAAGAAACTGAACAAAAAAATAAATATTCCAGGATTTAAGAGGGTATTTAAGCATTCAGCATGCAAACCACCTTAAAATCTTGCTTTTGACACTCCAATTGCCCCCCAAACATAAATTTACAGTGATCATCATATAGTGTGGATGATAATCACCAACATTAAGCCTTGCTTTGAGAGTAATGGGGGGGAACAGTCACTTTGTTGTACATGATACGAGGCCTTGCCAAACACGTCTAAATGTTCCGCATGATTTATTTTTAGAGAACGAAATAAAAGGAACAAAGACGTGACTGTATAACCGGAACATCAGTCTGCACATCAGTTTAAGCAGGCCACACACATGCGCGCACGCTTACTGCAGCTTGCACACATTTATGAGAAGCAGGTTAGTCAGCAGGATTTAAAGATTATTGAAATTGGAATTTATCATACCAGCGCGCACGTATTTGTGAATGTTTTCCTACTACACACCCAGTATTATGTAGAATTTGTAGACTTACTGGTACAGGAATAAGTGTGACGCGTGAATTAACGCCTCACACCACTGCATTTATAGCCTGAACAAATCTGCAGTGTCTATCACTGGATGGCTCTTTGTGCGAGTTATTTGTTCGGCTAACTGGTGACTAAATTGACTGTAGATGTGGACGTGACAGTTGTCTCTCTGCGACGAACTGGTGACCTGTGGCTCCTGATTCTCACTCAACACTGCAGTTAAGAAAAAGGACATATGGAGTCATGTTAAAGAATGAGGTGAATATTCATTAGCTGTTTGTTTGTTTTTTAAATAACGAAAGCTACAGATGAACAACTTTTTCAACTTCCTGAAATTATAAATTATATATGCGTTTCAAATATTTTGTGGTGTTGGACTTAAATTTTAAGACATGTGTTCCCAGGACCCAAATCACAGGCAATTTTCATATTTTTTTTATGACAAATTATCTACCGTTCTCAAAAAAAAATATTCCACTCATAATAAATTCATGAAACCAGCACAGTGATGTGGATGCTGCACTGATCTGTTGCTGTAAAGCGAGAGCTAAGCAGAAAAGCGAAGCTGTCGATTTACTGGTCCATCTACCTTCCTGCCCTCACCTACGGTCATGCGCTCTGAGCAGTGACTGAAAGAATGAGGTCGCAGATACAAGTATTGGAAATTACTTTCCTTCAAAGGGTGCCTAGGCTCCCCTTGAGATACGGTGAGGAGCTCAGAGGGACTCTGAGTAGAGCTGCTGCTCCTCCACATTAAAAGGAGCCAGTTCAGGCATCTGACTTGATGCCTCCTGGACACCTCCCAGTAGGCGAGGTATTAGGCGCATGTCCTACTGGGAGAAGGCCCCAGGGAAGACCTAGGACTGGCTGGAAGAGGTGGCCGGTGTGAGAGAAGTCGCTGCTGTCGCTGCGACCCAGATAAGCGGTAGAAGATAAATGCATGGATCATCAAACATTTAAAAGGCGATTCTGTGGAAAAGCGACATTGTTTTTACAGACTTGCCTTAAAAGTCTGTCCATTCCATCCCACGTAGAGACAAAGCCTTTGTGGGTTGTGTCACAAAAGGTATTCGTCGTAACAATTAGCTACGTCAAATATGTGGCGCTACCTGCTCCGCTCTCCTGTCACCCCGTGTGAATAAAGGAGCAACTGAAAGGAGCTTTGCTCAGACATAATGTTTTTACTGGATTTCAGCAGCTTTGCCCAGCACTTGGATGTAGGTCATGTGTATGTAATATGTACGTCAGCTCTGCATTTTCAGCCTGTACATGACCCCACAGCTCGTAGATCAATGGCCAGGACAAATAATTCCCTCCTCCCGCTCTTTCCCCATCTCTCAGGCTGGCCTTGATCCTCATTTCTGCTACAACCCCTCATCCCACCTCTTCTTTTTTTCCCCTGCCGCTTTCATCCTTGTTTTTCAACTGATCCTCCCCTCACCCTTAACCATCCCTTGACCTCTTTCTCTGATCTCTTCATCGCCTGTAAAGTGATTCCCCATTCATCTACCAGAACCCCTCTCTCCCTCATCTCCTCTGATTCCTTCCACCCCCTCTGAACCCCTGCTCACTCCCACCTCCCCTTATCCCCCTTTCCCTTCACCCCTCCTCCCCTCCCCTCTGCCCTCTCCTCCTCTCTGATCTGTGTCAGTCAAGCCCTGGGGCTCTCCGGGCACAAACAGCGGGAGTTACTCCTCTAAAGGACGACGGTGGCAGTAGGAGCTAACTGTCTGCGACTATAGAGGCTAAACAATATTGTGCCCTCTTTTAAAGTCAACACCCTTCCTCCTCATCTCTGCGATTTAGATTTATCCCTTCTAATCTCTCTATAACTTACCATTCCTTTGCCAACCCATTTATCTCTTCCCCTGCTTTAGCTTTCTTTAGTCGTCTTTGTTTCAAAATGGTGTCAAATAAAACCAATGAGCTCTTTCTCCGCTGCTCCGCCTCCTTCTTTCAGTCTGTACTTATAACAGGGAACTGTTGATAAATTAACTGTGAGGCGTACGAAAGTTCCAGCTCACTTGCTCACAACTGACAAAAATCTCTAGAGCCAATATGGAAAAACAGCTTTCTCCATGAAAATGAACAAAAAAATAAAAGCATTCTGTAGCGTACACGAGTATCATCTCCTGGAAGGAGGCATTCACCTTTTAAAGCCATCTGTGACACTGATATTTAAAGGTAGTCGTCTGGTATTTATCCATACTCACTGTAAATAGGCAGGTTTGACGTTTCATTTGAAGTGGGAAGTCGGGAATCCCAAACTCCTAACTGGAATTTCAAGCCAGTGTTGAGCCAAAAAGTAATCTCTTTGGTTATATTGATGAAGACTGCAGTTAACAGGATTTGCAAAGATGTATAAAATAAGGAAATTACCTGTTCTGCCAGGACCTTATGACTCTGAAATCTTGCTTTCATCAATTGCGTCTTATTTGCAAGGCCAGACATTATGTCCCGCACAAGGACGTCTGTACTTATTGCAACTCCCTTTACGCTGGTCTTAACTCTACTCTTCTCCATACACTGCAAATTGTTCTGAATGAGGCGGCTGGTTTTCTTACTGGTACTGGGCGGCGTGTTTCTATCACCCCTGTCCTCGCTGACCTGCACTGGCTCCCCGTTAAGTATCGTATTCAATTCAAAATCATGCTGCTCACCTTTAGAATTATTAACAATATAGTGCCAAGTTACCTCACTGAACTACTTAGTGCTCTAGCAGGGGTGTATAATCTAAGATCATCTTCCCAGTTTCAATCTTTCAAATCGTGGTTAAAAACCCATTTATTTAACGTCGCCTTTTATACCAGTTAATGCTCGTTTGTTAGTTAGTTTAATGTTTGTTGCTACTTTCGTTCTCTTTTTAACTACTTTTAATTATTTTAAATTTTTATTGACTCTCTTGTCTTTTACACATATTGTTCTATTACGCTTTTATATGCATTTCTTTTGTCTCTGTGTTTTTAGTGCCATCAACCTGCTAGCATGTTTGGTACTTTGCCATGGCCATCATCTTTCTCTACTACTTACGTTTGACCCTCTCGTATGTTAAGCACTTTGGTATTCCACTGGTTATAAATGTGCTATATAAATAAAGTTTGTTGTTGTTGTTGCATTACATCCAATCCTGTCCTTTTGGTCAATTAAAAATATCTTTCTAATGTATACTTGATTGATCCCCCTCTCCGCATTTAACCCATTCACTCAGTGAAGCAGCAGGCAGCCACCAATCTAGCATTCGGGGAGCAGTGTGTAGGGACGGTACCTTGCTCAGGGGTACCTCAGGGTCGCTGTTCAGTGGATTCAAACCGCCGACCTTCCGATCATGGGGCCACCACTGTACCTACTGAGCTATCCCTGCCCAATTTCAGACCTGTGATGTCATATTTGCTGCTATTTCTGCTTCCCCAGCTCAGCCAGATCTGGATATGATATAGGATATATCCTATAAATATGGGATATAAAGAATAAATACGGATATGTAAAGACACTTTTCCAAAAGCTGATTGCAGTGTCTCTCTGATGGAAAGGTTTTTTTTCCTGGTTCAAAAAGGCTTGACATCATTTTTGACAGATATGTTTGACAGCTTAACAGTTTAAATACCAGCAATTATTTTTTGGCACAACACCGGAACGGTCGGACTTCCCACTTGTAAAGTTGCAGAAGCAACACCAAACCTGACCTGATGCGGTAGTGAGTTTAAACAGCAATAAATGTATAAAGCCTTTAATCTGTGCTTCCACAGTTGTGCATTTGTGACTCATTTTATGCATCTGTGTATGGAACCATAATCTAACCATAAGAACAGCTGATTTCCTTCACATGGCACAAAATGTTTTGTATGATTTGCACAGCAAACATTTTTTGGGGTGTACTTTTAGGGTACCATGTAACAGAAAGATAGCAAACCATCCATTTGCACTTTTGAATTGCTTTATAATGACATAAAGAATATGGGTATAGCAGTTAAAGAAGAAGTTGATAGTTCTGCAGGAACTATGTTTAACATTTGTGTTTTGGTACATGCTGCGTCCACAAAGCCAAACACCATCTTTAACATACAGACTCTGCCCAGATATCCAAACCTGTAATGCTAGATTGGAGCAAATTTTTACTCCAAGCATTCTGCGGTGACTAAAATTAGCACGGCTCCTAAAATAAAACGTTCCCTGCACGCAAGAGTGTAATCGCTCCTATACAAAGAAATTAGATAATAGCAGGGAACGTGTAGCAGCACACGGGAGCCTATATTGAATTCAGACCTCAGCTGAAGATGACAGAGACTGTTGAGCTGAACAAGCACAGCTTACTTCCAGGCAGTGTAATCAAATAGCGATGCCACAGCAATATTAGCTGCAGCAGGGAGTTTGGGACTCTGAGGACAGCATTCGGTTTGTTAAGGGGACATCAGAGCAGATCGGCAACGGTGACGCCAAAGAACCTAAAACTGTGCACATTCAAATACGTTTTAACAGATGAGGCAGAACAGCTGTAGGAAAGAAGCAACAAGCATGAAACTAAAAGGGAAGTTGGACAAAGAGGGTTTAAAAATAAATAAAATTTGCTCATAAATACGTAATATTTACGAGCATCACAGCCAGCATTACAGGCTTTTTAGCTAATGAGGAGACTTCACTCACTCGTAACTCAAATTTGATGAAAGCTCCTGGAGATTTCTGGGGAACAATCCTTGAGAGTAATGTTCAAGGGGTTCCACGCTGTGGCGGACTTTTTTTCTTTTTTTTAACAGCACTTTATTTCAAAGGCTTTTACAGATATTAATATCAGAGTGATTCAGAAGCCCTCCAATCCTTGTCAGACAAATGCTGGATTTAGTGTAGTGGAGAGGAAGAGGTGTGAAAGTGCTCTAAGCCGCTGAACTGAATGAAGAGATTAGAACTAGCCGACATAGAGGGGACCGGTGTTTTTGGATAGATGCTTTACACACATTACTCAAACCCTAGGTTTATATTCAGTGAGCAGTTTTAGTGGTGTAGCTGGAAAATTTTTGGAGAAAAAAAAAAAGTGTTACGTGCCTGTTGCCTGATTAGCATTGCAGATTTTAAACTGCACTCTGCATGAAAGTATTTTTCTGTGACTCTCTTATCCTCTTCTAGCATCAATATTTGGTCAGTTTTTGGTCATGTATTCGGATCGTATTCCTCTCACGTGCTACTACCACACTTCTTATAACTGCTTCAGCCTCTTTAAGTCCGTATTGGAATTTTATATGTGGTTAATTGTACTACAAGTCCTTAAATAGTTTGTCCTGAGTTTTTCTTCAGTGTCGAAGTGTAGTTGTTTATTTGTGTGTTACTTAGTTGGTATTAGTAGGTCTCTGCATCACTGCACAGTTTATGGAAACGGCTTGCTGTCCTAACTTGTTATAATATAATATTCTGGTTACAGTAATATATACAGAAAAGCAACAGAAGCTCCTGCATAGCTGCATGCACTGATTTTTCCCTCTTTCCTCATCTACCTGTGCGTGCGTTGCCTCTGGCTGAGCGACGCCGTGCGCCCGGGGCTCTGCTGCTGTCCGTGCTGGCTGCCTAGTCGGGCGGGGCTGGTCATGTAGTCATTGGGAACCGTGGGCGGCTTCACTGGCTCCAGGGTCTTGTAGGGCGTGTTGCGTCTGGAGTGGCCCAAAAATGAAAAGCGATAAACAAATTATGATAAAATCAAAGAAAAGAATGATCATCACTGAGCGTAAAGCCTACTATCTGAACGTTATGGGTGTGTCCACTAAAGTGTTGTAAATCCTATCAGTTTACCCAGCTGGATGAGGCGCGCTAAACATCGCTGTTTATCCCTGGAATTAATATCTGATCAGCGTCTGTGTTTGTGCATCGGGGCAGGACGCACTACAACAACCCTGCATGTTTCTTTTTCTGGATCCTGCCACTTATCAGCTTCTTTTCCAGCAAAAGTGACCACTGATCCATCAAGTTCCCTCCTCAGCAAATGTGCCCTGTGTTTTTAGCTCTTGGACTTATAAAGCAAAAAATAAAGACAAGTGACGTGCTTAAATTATTCATAATTAAAGGACTGGGTTTCCTTTTCTGGTGACTCTGATGGAAATCTTACCCAAGCGTGCCACGCCCAGACATCGGCGGACTGGGCGGCTTTTGCGTCGGCGGATTGGTCCTCGATAGTGTTCCTCCTCTGATCGACTGATTGTTTCCATGTTGCTGTGGTTGGAAAGAAACCCCAGAAGAAGCTTGTTTTATGCACACATTCCTCCAGTCACAGTGGGTGAATATTACTAATGTGATCACAATCTACTCTTACAGGCTGCCCAGATGACACAGCGTAATATTTGAGGGGAGATGTAATCCCTCCCCCAGGGTGTGCAGTTTACACTCTGATGGAATTTTGGAGCAACAGCAGTTATCTGGGAAACCCGTAAGCATTAAACAAACTACGTGACATTAAGGGACGAGTACACAACATGAAAGTAAATAACAACACATACATGGTTGGTAAACAGACAAGGGAGTGTGACAAAGACTACGCTCATCTGTGGGAGGACTACAGGTCAGTTAATGTGAAGTAACATGGGAGATGATGACAGTAATCACACGAGGACGAGTCTGCCGTGGAAGGGAGTTGAACAAATCTATCAATAATACATCGGAGCAAAATGGGTCATGTGACAAAGCAGACTTACCTTGGCTTTTAGCCACTTAGTGTGGGCGAAGGAAAAAAGAAGAAAAAAAAAACACAGGAGAAAGAGACAGAAAGAGGGCATGTCAAAACAGCCACATGTAAATGGATCAGTCCAAGTTAAGTGAGCAGCAGAAAAATGATTCCTTGTATTTACACTGTTAACTCGTAGCAAGACCTCAGAAGGTCAGTAGTAAAAATCATGCCATTTATAGAAAAACACTGTTTCCTGACTTGTGCCCTTTACTCCAGCACCACACCCAGAGCAAGAGCCAGACAGCAAAGATTTTTCAGGGATCGAATGGCAAAAGAAACTGAAGAATTTATTTTTGTGCATCGACAAAATGACATAAGAAAAGGTTGCAGAGAACCACTCCAACCTTTGGTAACCTTTTATGCATTTTCTATGATGTGAACTGCATAATTTCAGATCATCGCTTCACTGGCACCCCTAGAAAATGAATTCAAAACTCATACTTGTGTAGCTTTCTGTCTGAAAACAGAGCCAGCATAGCAGCGGGGTTGATCTGCAGTTTGACAACTACAGAGTCAAGTGGCTCATCTATAATGCAGCTTCCCCAGTGGCCTTTGCAGAAAGCACTGTAGCGTCACAGGACCACAACAGAAAGAACGGATGAAATCAAGAGTAAATTCATAGCACAGGTCAACAGGAGCCGACCTTTGCACGCTTAAAAACAGGAAACTGCTTCAGTGCAGCTGCGAAAGGCTAACTTCATGTTCAGATTTCACTCTCCTCGGGTTATCACAGCTAGAAGAGATTCAATTTACAATCTAGGTCATGCTGGAAATGCCAAGGCCCACTACTGCCTCGCCTTATCTTCCTGGCAAATGCTGCATCTCTGTTCTGCTGTACAAAATAAATAAATAAATAAATAAATAAATAAAACAGACGGGCAGTGTGGAAATGCTTTACTGACATCAAAGGTGAATTATGGACTGACAGGTTCAGGGTGAAAAAAAAGAAACTACAGCTCTGCAGTGTGTCAAAGGTGCATGAAGGCAACAGACACTGCCGGAGGTCCGGTTAATATATCTTACATCTTATTAAACCTGTGTTAACTGCCGCTTCCCTTTAAAAGCGTTGAACATATTTAATGTGGTGCAGCCCTTCTTGTGAAGCAGCCGCTGCCACTGGAGTTTAATGTGACTGAGCAGCTGGAAAATGCTCATTTAAGGTTTTTAAGGCAAAACTTAGCAACTGTAACCAGTTAAAGTTGCAGCGCTCTCGCCTGCCTTTGTGTGAAATCTGAACATGCCTGCAGCTGCTAAGGGTAAAGGTCTTGTATCAGTAGCCTGTCGGGTGTTATCACATCTGCCAGAACTGAAGAATTAACCATTGCTGCCCTAACTAGTAGTCACCAAGGGAGCAATCTGCGGTGCTTAAGAAATAAATAAATAATTAATCTAAAGATGATCCGCCAATAATTGCAGTTCGCCTTCTTCAGGCTTGCTCCAAAAAACACATGATAGGTTTGAGTTGCAGAGGCAGCTGAATGGGTCTGACAGGCCTCACCTCAACTAATTCACGTCTTTGAACAAGAGCTCTCTACCATGTTTGTGCCGTTGTTGCATTTCATTGAATTTATCTGACCAATGTTAAGGCTCGAAGTGTTGGTGGAGGCCAAAACTACCGTGTAATGTCCATGTTTTATACAGTCTCTGGTTGGAACGCAACACCACTTAACTGTTGGTTCTAACGGGGCCATTATGAACCATCAGTTTAATGATATATCAGTGATAAATCATTAAACTGGCGGTACAAACAAATACGATCGTACAGCCGTGCCTGGCTACACCACAAATGTCATATGTATGCTAGACTGATTCTTTCATATAGCGTAAATATGTTTACAGACAATGTGTAAGATTAGAATTGTGCTCACTTTTTTCATACACTCACAGCAGTGGATTAGTCAGATTTTTACTCAACTAGGAAACGAGTTACCAGAAACATCCCTGATACAGAGGAACAACAGCAGCCGCCGTCTTTGTCATGAAGAACTTGAACCATCCCCTTTAGTAATCTTGTAAACTCTTAACTGACACAGGACAGAATATCAAAGGACTGAAATCTGACTTCAAACAGCCGACGTGCCTGGTGCATTCCTGAAAGCCTCGCTGACTAGATTAAGCATCATCTGACTGGAAGAATAAATCTCATCTTTCGTATTAAAGCTAAAAAGCATCATGTTGCTGTCAGAAAGCCTGCAGGAGCATCCTGATCTGTCAGTTGTGAGACTGCAGTGATTACTGCTGTGTTCGGTTTGTTTATACCACATGAATTTCATCTTCCTTCTTTTTTTTTTTCCACCTCCCTTCTATAGAAAACCTTTTCTTCAATAATGTATGTTAGCAAATCAAATTTTATTTTCCTCTCCGCAGGTGTCTAACACCAACTTTTTGTAAGGTCGTAAAGCCAACTCAACATTTAGGCCAAAGCTAACCCTCAGGCAGACACAGCAAGTCTGAAAGCAAACTGGAGCCGATATTCACGATCTGAACTCATATTAAGGTATCGATTCTGGTCAGTAAATAAAACGCGGCTACAGACGTTCAGACTTTTGACAGCTGCCATTGCAGCATGCGCTATGAATTAATGTGGAGTATTGATGTTGCGTATCGATCGCTCTCTGGCTCTCGACATGCATAGATGAGAGGAGGTGAGTGATGTAGGGCTGCCGGATGTGCGGGTGTGCGCTCCCCACATTCACAGGCTAAACGCGGCATAGACAAAGACGTTTAAGGCAGAAAATCCACAGAGATTAGGCTCAGAGTACTACGTGATAATCTTAAAATAGACTCAAACGGCTTTAAAGCAGCCGACGAGGCCTAATTTTGAGCGTCTCTTTTAGAGTAAAGAGTAGGTACAGAACTGGGGATGATTAAAATGGACCTTATTGGACGGTTACGCCTGGTGATCCTGGTTTTAATTAGATATGAACATTACTAGATGGAAACAGTGGACACAACAACCTCACCTCAAAGTTTGCAAGTATTACTTTTTTTCCCCTCTTTAAGCAATGTAGGGAAAGATGTTTGATAAGCACAAAAAATAAAACAAAGACTTCTTGCAAAAAAAAAGATAGTTGGAATAATTAAGAAATAGCATCATCACAGTTTGTCCAGCTTACAATACTTTCAGGGCCGTCTGTACCACATGTAGCAGAGTAGCATAGCAGTGAAGCCATAAGACTGCAACGTTTTTCTTCATTGTGGCTAACCACTGTAAATGTGACACATCAATCCACTGCTGTGAAAAAAAAGAAAGACTTAAGAGGCTGGACTGTCAGTCTGTTGAAATCTGTTATTTCTGGCTCTATCGCTCAGCCACACCTCTGGAGTTTGTGATTGTGTGATATTTTCTGTGGTAGTTTCGGTCTGGACCCAAAACTAAAAATCTGTATCGCCACTCCAAATCTACTATCACTATCTCTTTTTGTAAACTGTATCTGCCAATTATTTCATTTTCTCTGAATCTTACTCACAGGAAGAAAGACTCCTGCTTTTATTATTCCTGAAACTGTAAATAGCCTCACATTTACGGCTCAATAGTCATAATTATTGGTGAAAGTCTAGAAAGTCTAGGGTGAAACACACCCTAACAAAATGTTTCACATCCCATTAACCGTGACAGAGGGCTTCAATGCAACTCCCCACACAGAAGATTGAGAGTGGCACAATGGCTTTTATCTGGTCTTATCAATGCCTGTAACACTATGGGACACTAATGGCGGGGTCTTTAATCCAATCTGTCTGACAGCTGAGATTGATTGGCTGACTGATGGCGCAGAGGACGCTCATGAGGGAGAATGGAGATCTCCAAAAAATAAATAAATAGAAAAACTGCCTGCAGCTGTCAGGAAATGATGTCACCGAGCGACCCCTAGAGCGAGCCCTAATGGCTGGGAGCTGCGGGTGAGTCTCTGTTTTGAAGAGTTTATCACATCAAAAAGCTTCTTTGCTACCTTTCACACTGAAGTTAGATAAACTACAAATCGAACCATAACATCGTCGCCATAATGAGATTATGAGAGCGGCTAAAGTGCCTTTAAAAAAAAGAAAAGAAAAAAAAAAAAGTGCCAGAAATGTGTCTCTGATCACAACAATCCAAGAACAGAGCTGTTTTCTGAAAGCTACATGATGTAATTGCTTTTTTTTTTTTTTTAGTTTATCTCCATCTCCACCCTCCCGAACCAGTTCCCACTAGCACACACTGCAACATATTCCTGCAGGGTCAGAGAGGGGTGTTTTCTGAAGATGAAAGAGAAAGCACAAGAGACGCCGTTTGAGCGAGAAAAACAGACAAAGTGGGAGAGGAGACAGAGGGAGATAGGAGTACCTCTGGCGAGAAAGCAAAGAGGGGGAAGGGAGAGGAAAAAGATGGGAAAACTAATGGACTGAGCAGAGGGAAATATTATATGCGAGCAGAAAATTAGTGCCACATACACACAAAACAAGAAAAATCTGCTCACCTTAACGCCGTGGCCGACATCATCCAGTAGAGTGTAGTCAATTGGCTTCCTGATGTACCTGACTGGCCGCTCCATATTGGCCGGCGCTATGATCTTATGAGTCCTTGCTGTGTTCTTGTTAGTGGTCAGGATCCCGATCTCTCGTCTGGCCACCTTCTCTTTATGGATGTCCACCGTCTGTAAATGAGAGAAGTGAAGATGTGTGTCACACAGAAAACTTAACAAGGCTTAATTAAATCATGAGGCTGTGCTTTTCATCAGTGGGGCCTTAATCTAAATCTAACACGGCAATTCAGCATATTAGCGAGGTAAAAGCACACAGACACTAAGCAAAGTGTCTGTGTGCAAGAGCTGTTGGAGCGATCGCGCAAATCTCTCAAAAGAAGAATAAACTGAAATTTACTATATATTTAAATCTGTTTTCACAATTTTCACTTTTTCAGAGAAGCGTGTCCCTCCAATATGCTTTGCAAGGGTCAAATGCTTCATTTATGCCTCTGGTGGCTGCTTTTCTCCTGAAACTGACCCATTGTTTCATTTATCGGTCACACTGCTATACAGCGGTTTCCAAATGACATGTCAAATTTGGATTTCTTAATACACTTGATCATGTATTACTAAATTTGGGCAGATGACTATCGCTTGTGCACACGAGACAAGCACCAACTTCCAGAGACTTCCAGAACTAGACTTTCAGAGAGTCAGAAATGACATTGTCAGGAGTTCAGATCTGTTTTTTCTCTCTTCTATGGAAAATGACAACACAGAGGTGCCAGTAGCAGCTGGTGGCACCTGTGGTTGCAGAAAAAGGCTTCTGGTCCTTTAGACGTCTACTGGAAAACAGCCCTGAGTGATGATCTTTGTAAACACTTTCTTAATGAGTTTATGGGCCCGCTCACTTATTTCTGGTCATATTCTATTCTTTCCAAGCATCATAAATAAGGAATATCAAGGGTATGTTACCGTAGATGCCAACGAACCCAAGATTTATGCAGATTTGTTGAAGACTGAGTTTCTGTACTGATGATGTATCAGTGCAGACTCACAGATTATACAGAGGGAGATGATGCAACAGCTTGGAAAGATGAGACCACATCATTATAGCTATACACCAGCGCTTTATTCATTTTATTATTCCTCAGACACTCAGAACTTTATTTAGGTTTAAAATTAGAGGCTGAAACAGGGCTAAGTCGCCTTTTACTGTGTTTGTGATCACTGATAATGCAGTGATCTAACAAATAACAAGGTTTGCTTAACAGCTCATCCATAAAAGCATTTGTTCCAGTTTTTGCGAGTCCAGTTCTAGTGTTTTACTTGATTGTTACTTAGCACTATGTAGAAGGTAGCTGTGTCTAACAATGGTGCTTCAAACAGGGCTTCACAAACCTTAATATAATCTGTGCTTGTCTATGACACATTTGTGTATTTTTTGGTGTTTGTTTTGTGGCCTTTAATGTTTATCCACACGGCTATAACCTCACAAGTACTCACTACACAACCAAACATTGAACGCCTCCCATCAAGCCAAAAGGAGCCCAGGAGCAGCTGCTGCTGTTGCAATGGGAGATGAAAGGCCGCAATGTCTGCAGAGGCCAGACCAGGAAAACGGTGGTCTCTCGTGGAGGGGAAGGAGTCAGAAACCAGCGCCAACAGAGGATTCCTTTCATGCCAAAGTGATCCGAGGCTGGACTGAGCTTTGTCTCTTTATTCTGCACTGCTCCACTGTATGTACAGACTTAGCCCTCAAGTATCATTCATCCCAGAGTTGAGGGAATTAGTAACACTCAGGATGGCTTATATGTAGCTCAGCACAGCACAATCACGCCAACAACATCTCTCTTTTTCCCCTCTCTCTGGGTAACATCAAATCTAATTTTAAACTATGACACTAATGAGATATTCGCCTGAGAACTGGCAACAAACTCGAATATCTATTAAGACTGACGCATAGCAGGTTCCTGCAGGACATGCAGGGGTATTAAAAAAGCGGATTGTTCAAAATTGCAGAAAAAAAAAGGAGCAATCAATATTTTATAAGAGCCAAAGATATTCTTGCATAATTGCTCCCTAAGAGACTTCCCATGCAAAGAAGGAGCGTCCGTTCTGTTCCAGTGCCCTGTTGTGTCTATTTGAATTAAGAGATATGACAGAGTGCTGATTACAGTCATCTTTTTTAACCTGAGACAAGCTGCCAGGATACAAGAGGCTCTTGACATAAAAACGAACTGTAGTGACAATATCTTCCCTGTGCTGCGAACAAACCAATGCACAATTTAGTGGATAAGAGCCCCATTATGATGGGATTTGAGCCAATAGCTTTGACTCCACATGCAGCTCAGAGATAACTCCCAAATTGTCGTATATCATGATCATCTGAAAGCAACTGGGCCAAAATCGAATCAGCCCATTTGGCTTCCATTTGCAGGGGATGTGATGGAGCTCAGTGATCGGCTGAGATGGAACAAGGCAGAAAGAGGGGAGAAGGAGGACGAGGGATGGGCTCAGTCAATCTAGACCTGGTTTTACTTCGAAAACAGCTTTGCTCACATTTCACCACTGATTCTAAAGAAAACTGAAGTCATAGGCGTTGCACACTGTCATAAGTTTCTATGAGGAAGTAGACAAAACATGAAAAGTTCACTTGAAACTGGAAAGAGAACAGTTGTTGAAATGCTGCAGCTAAACTGGGAAAGCATCTGTTCTTGGCTGTACATACTCCCCATATCAGAGAACAGCGTTCGGACAAACTTCATCGCAGCTGGCAGGGGCAGGAGGTTAGAAGCAGCGTAACAGTTCATCTCCATCCTGTACAAGCCCTGCTGCATCAGTGAGGAGCCCTGATGTAACACAAGTGTTGACAGAAGGGTAAATCTGAACCCACCTTGTTTAGCAAACTTCCACACAGCGAGCAGGAGCACCCCGTGGATATCACATTGCTAATCCACTGTCCAAAGAACATTAAATGGATCTGACAAAAAGGTCTAAGTATGACAGTGCATTCTGGCTTCACCCCAGCAGGGAACCCAAATCTGAGCAACTGCGACTTAACAGCCCATCTCTTCCCTCGACTGAGCGGGGAAACGCTTTCCCTGACTTTTCAACTGGCACTAAAAAGGTGTTTACTCGATCCCAATGGTCCATCTGCTGGGTGGAAAACGTCTTGCCAAACTGAAAGGTGCATGATTCACATGTGCTCTCAACCACTGCCACTCATATGTCTCAGGCCTACGGCTGTTTTCCCAAAACACTGAGCAGTTGGTGTTTGGCTTCTCCATCATCTAAGGGCTTTTAGGACTTTAAAGTGCCCCCCACTTCGTTGTCTGCTTTTATTGAACTGCTCTTTTCATTTGTCACCTTGAAGTCCTCTTTTTTTGGCATCCTTTTATTTTTTTCCCCCTCTCTTTTTTAACCCTGTAGTTCTTCCCACACCCAGAGGAGTCACCCATCTATGACTAGTGCAGGGATTTAGGTCATAAATTGGAGCTACTGCCAACATCATCAGCGTCATCCACATTCAGTCAAGAATGCGTTATACTTGGAGACTTTTTCCCCATTTTGGAATATGAGGGAGTCGGTGCGGTGCTTGCCACAATGAGAAATTCTTGTTGTGTTGTTAGTAGCAACCAGTGGCTAAATATTTAGGATTTATTTATTTTGAAGCCAGATTGTTACCGTTTTGGTAGAGGCTGTGCCTGGTTTTCATTGCTAAGCAGCATCCCCACTGTTGGTCAATGGTAACTTTATTGTCCCTAATGGGAAATTGATTTGCAATATGTCCATACAGAAATATGGACATAATGTTGCCAAGTGCTTCGTCAAAAGAAAATATTTGGGTTCATCAACATTACTTTGCTAATGTTCGCATTATGCAGTGTACTCAACTTTCACTGTAGGTTGCATAAAAAAAAAACCCCAAAAAACAAACAAAACAAAAAAACAAAAACATATACAACACAACGTCAACAAAAGCCAAAAAAACTTTGCAAACAACTTATTGTAACTGTCAGTGTAGCCCACCCAATAACAACAGATCGCTTTGGATCAATGTCCCTCCCAGCCTGCTCACCAGTGATTGATGCCAGTTGATAGGTGAAATTGGTCGCAAAGAGGTATATGGCTAGCTGTGACCTTTGAGATGTATCGACTGCAGTGTTAAGGCACAATTTTTACTTAGAAAGGCCAAGGGTTTCCATTTCCAGTTTACATCGCACATTTACAGCTTCATGACCATTTGGTGAGCAGTTGGTAAGTGTTTGCAGACAAGTCAGTCCTTCCATGCAAACTATGGACGCCCATGGCAATCTGCTAGTAACCAAAGCAATTGCACAGAGGTTTTTGATGTAGTACAATCTTTATGTCCAATTTCACTTAGCAACTGGTCAACAACTGACACAAAAATTATAAGTCTACTAATAAAACCCGAGGCCCCATAATTTAAGCACCCACTGTAGAGGAGGACTCCTCTAATTTAAAAACAATACCCAACTTTGAGAACACATCGCTTTCTGGTCTTCAAATCTAAGTCGACCCCCACTTTCAATGAATGCTTATTGCCTCTTTCAGGCCAGTGCAGCCCACTGCTCAGATAAGGGGGAAGGCTGGACTACTTGGGAAAGGAGGTCATACATTGCCAGAATGTATCCACACGAGATCAGCAGAAGGGGCATAAATCTCTGAGTGAAGTGGGAACGGCCAAGCAGAGGTCTAGGGTTGGAATTTCAAAATCTTGAACAAACGTAACTTGACAACTTCCCACCAGACAAGCACACAGTGTTTTGGCGAGCGACTTGAGCAGCGACTTAAAAGAAAAGAACTAAAAACGAGTACACTTTATCTGGAATTGAGACAGTTGCTTTCCCTTCGACACGTACTGGAAAGAGAAGAAAACAGCCTTTTCAGCACTTTGGCAGACTGGCCGCAGGATGATATCCTCGGTAAAACGCCAACTATGCATAAACGCACGGACAAACAAAAAGCTTCCCAGCGTGTACTGTAGGCGTAGTAAGGATGAGCTGGGCACTTACACTCAGCATGGGGAAAAACCTACAGCTAGACAAACACACCCTACATACCGATGTTTCTGTGTGTGGCTTGCCAGACCAGACAAATGTGTCAATAGTTAATAACAGACTTCAGCTACAGATAATTATAAGATCTGAATAAAATGGTTCAGC